TTATTAATCCAACCCTTTATGAACTGCTCTAATGCACAAATGATTAAAAATGTAACATAGAGATTGTCAATGGCACATATCTCTCCAGAAAGAGAGAAAATACCTCACAGGTACAGACACAAACCTCTTAAAAATTAAGTATAAGCAGCAGAAAAATAGAGGAAGGAAGTTTCTAATGTATATTTAAAATCCTAAGTGACAGTCACAGCACACCAGCAGCACAAGAATAGGAAAGACCTGTAAGAAAACAGAGTAATCACCCCCATTTGATAACAATTTCTGTGAGGACAGATCAGATGGCAGAGCAGGAGTTATGGGGGTTGGTTTGGATGCAACAGCTCATTTTGGGCAGGGGAAAAAACTAAAATTAAAAACAACAAATGTGGAGAAGCCTCAGTTGTTTGAGTCTGGCTGAGGAGGGGCTTTTACAGGGCAGTGCTCAAGGGACTGTGACTGAGGTTACACACGAGCTCCATGGGAACAAGGACAAGGCAGGGTGTCCATACTAATTGCTGGGGAAGTAGCCAAGTGTCACCAGGGAGAAAATTGCATGGCTGAACTCCAAGAGGCAACGGGACCAAAACACAAAGGAATAAAGGCTCAGAAATGAGCAAGTCCACACTGGCTGGGTGAAATGTTATCTGAGCAAACAAACCAATGCAAGGACCCCAGAAAGCATCTCTCTCCTCTAAAGGGAGATCTCTCTCCTCTAAAGGGTGCCTGGCAATGCTGTGAGACGTTGCAGAACATCCTTCCTAGATGCTGTCAGGCAACACTTGATAAAGTGTCCACAGCCCAGTGCTCCAAGACTTCCAGCAAATGTAAATGGATAGGTGCTCCCTCCTTCCAGTCACAGGTCACCTGCTGTGTCCTCACACACTCTGGGGCTGTGTGAAGACAATCCCACACACTTTAGTGCCCCCATAAATCTGTGTGGGCAGCGCTGGCAGCTCCGTTCTGCCCCGTCACCCCCATGGACGCTTGGGAAGCCACGGGCTTGGGGCAGCCAAGCACCACCAGAGCAGAAATTCCTGGGATGTGCAAACCCTTCCTGAGCACTGAGGCTGCTCTCACACTGTAAATCACACCTGATACCCTGTACACCACGTATTAGCTGCTTAACCCCAACTATTAGATGTTTAAGCCCAGCTAGGTGGGAGCTCCAACACTTGTCCCACCTTCTGTGGGCACATCCCAAAAGAAACCCTCCAGCAGAGCAACAGGTTCAAACCCTGCAGAGCAACAGGTTCAAGCCTTCAAGACAAATTATACCTGGATATTTTGCACTTACGGTTACCTTTAAATGTGAATGCAAAGAAAAAATATTAGATATTTGAATACAAGTCTGTTTATCAAATATATCAGTGTCCTTTCTGTTATAGTCTATATTGGTTATTAGTTGATAAGTGTCAGCCTATAAATAAACCAGTGCTGCCATTCCCAAGGGTTTAACCTTGGGTCATCATCAGAGTCCTCAAAGACAAATATGGAAGCAGTTTTCAGATTTTCAGACAAAAGTAAATCCACCTTTATACCTCTTTAGTTTGGAGCAACCCCCCCCCTCCCCCAGGAGCCCAGTGGAGAGCACAGGGCAGCTCAGGGGGTTGGGATAGTTCACTTCTTGGGGAATTCATGCAGGATTTGCTCCACTCTGACTGCCCCAGAGGTGCTTGGGGCTTGTAGGTGTGAGGGGAGGGGTTTTCAGTGCTGAGGCTGCAGCTGCCACACCACAATTCACCTGCTCTGTCTCTGCTGGAAAGTTCTCTGCCAGGAACCTCCTCTCCTCAGTCCTTCCCTCACCTCCCACACAGGGAAGAAACCAGCTTTGGATTATAGAATCATGAAATCATTTAGGTTGGAAAAGACCTCTAAGATCATCAAGTGAGGCCTCACCAGGGGGACAATCACTTCCTTATGTATAAGAACCACAAACCCCAGCTGGCATTATATTTCTTAATTTCTTTAATGCAATCAGCAGCAGTGGCACATTTCAGCAACAAATTCCAATTCATATTCCCAATTTGGTTAAAGAAGGAGGTCAGGAATTCAGACATAATGCAGAAGAGGGGTTTGGGGGAGCACACAGAGTGCAGAGGAGGCAGGGAAAGGGGTAAATCAGAGCACTTCTAAACAAGCAGTTCGGAGAAGAAGTAAAAATATCTGAACACAACAGAAAACAACCTTCCAACCCATTCTTATGGGTTTCTCAGAGAAGCTGTGGCTGCCCCATCCCTAGAAGTGTCCAAGGCCAGGTTGGACAGGGCTTGGAGTAACCTGGGATAGCAGAAGGTGTCCCTGCCCATGGCAGGGGGTGGGATGGGATGAGCTTTAAGGTCCTTTCCAACCCAAACCATTCTGGGATTCTCTACCTCTAAAGCAGGACCCCATAAGTGACCACAGCACAGGACAGCTCCAGCTTATACCAAATGTTCTGGAAACTTCCAGGTGTTACATCTTACTCACATGAATATGAAAAACAGCCTCTGCTTATCCTTGACCAGACACCACACTGAATTTTAATGGCTCCATAAGAATTTGATGGCTTGCAGAGAAGGGAGCTTTTGTAATAAGGTTTGATAAAACATCACCCCTGGGAGAGCTTGTACATAAACACCTCTAAAGAGTTATGCAACCCCAGCATGCAGCTCTCCTGACAACAAATCCATCCAGCACCAGGAGCACAACCTGACTGAAAAAAAGGGTTCTATCTCTGCATAGCAATGAGCTCTTCCTCAGAGTGCTGCTCCTTTCCAAGCAGGAATGCAAAAGGAAGCAGAAAAAGGCTCCTCCCACTCCTAAACCTCAGTGAAATGATTGTTTTTGGCAAGAGGATCAAACCCAAGACTTCTGCCAGCACTAGAAAACACGTTGTTTGCACAATAATCACCTCCCTCAAATGGCAGCCGGGTGTCATTCCATGTTTTCCCAATGCCAGCTGCCAGCCGGGGTTTCTAAGGAAACACTGATGCTGGGGGAGCTGGAGGGTGGGGGAAGAAAAGGACAGAACCTAAAAATAAGTGTCACACGCCTCTTCCAGGCCTTAAAACCACCTGATGGAAACATTGCCAACATCTTGGAATGGTAACATTTCTGAGACACCCCCAAGGCTCCACCCCAGCGGGATCATTTTGCGCCGAACAGTGTTTTGCTACGAGGGGGCTCTAGTTCTGATATCACATTATTTTTTTTTTTTAAAGGGTGTTTGGGAAAATAAGATGACTGGATTATTCCTCAGATTACCCAGAATAAATGGCAACTTTATCATTTTGTGCCATTGCAGCCCCAAATAAGACTTGAGGTCTTACATGGAGCACGAATAGGAATTTCACTGATTTTTGAGGATCGATGGTTTTCATGGTGGAAATGCGAGATTTTTTACTTTTAATTGAACTGAAATGGGTGTGGGAGGAGAAAATAATACCACTCTCCTTGAGCATGGACAGGCCATGCTGGAATCAGACACACAGAGCACTCCAAATCAAATAAGCCCAAAGAAATGACATCACAACACAGCAAGTTAAGCACTTTTTAGGTCAAGCTGTGGTTGAGTCAGGAGGAAGCAAAAATACACTGAGAATATTTTTTGAGAGCTCTAAACCTCTAATTTTTCAAGATGGCATTGTTTATCCAATTAACCCAGAAAAAGATCTCCTCTTGGAGGGCTACACATCAAGAATATTTCCTCATCTCTGCTGAAATTAGGGCTGTGCTCTAAAAAGGGACGCAAGTCTGGTCTGTAACAGCTCTGAAAACACATTTATTATAAAATAACTGTGACACAAAGCTCTCTAGAAGCACTTAAGTATTTTACCATCTCTCCCAGTTACGTAGGCAACCACAACCAGTGCCCAGCCAAGCAGATGATTTCACTGGATGTGACTACTGGGCTTTAGGCTACGTGTAAATAGTCAGAGCTTCACTCCCAGCCAGTCACTAATACACTCCATGTACACATCAGGAGGGAAATGTCTGTGGAACTGAAGTCAGAATGGTTCAGTGTGTTTTTAGAAGTGGTAGCCAGACAGTTTTTTGGGTATAACTTTGATGTTTTGTGCTGTTAGTGCTTAGATGGAGATCCAGGGGATATTGATTTCACAGTATGTGCTGATCCCTCACTCCGAGTACCACATTTTACCCTGAAAACTCTCTCTGCTTCAGGGCTGAATTAGTTCTTTTCCTACATAACTCAGGTTGCCCAGAGAATCTGTGGATGCCACACCCCTGGAATTGCTCAAGGACAGGATGGGTGAGGCTTGGAGCAACCTGGGCTGGTGGAAGGTGTCCCTGCCCATGGCAGGAGGTGGCACTGGATGAGCTTCAAAGTCCTTTCCAATCCAAACCATTCTGTGATATCAGACAGAAACAGTCAGCCTATATATCACAGATGTAAATATATATATATATACACACACATATATACAGCTAATTAATTGTTTCCAGGCATCATTATTTAAAGGAGCCTTTGGTCTGTATCTTGTAAGTGTGCAAGTAGAAATGTAAGTATACAGGAATCAAATTCCTACCCATTATTCTCAAAGGATTACAGAGATATATCCCCAGAAAAGAAGCAAAGCTGGGCTGCTTGTTGGGTGGAAAGTGGTCCCTCCTCTCTTCCAGAACCTCTCCCAAACCCTGCCCATTTTAGAAATCAACCTCCTTCCCTTCCTTGTGCTGGGGGCAGGGAGGAAGAGCCCAGCTTAAATCCCCAAGGCTCATTAGCCATGTTAAAGGATGGTGACACGTCCCCTTGCTTGATAAAATGCAAGAGCCTCACACCCCTCTGCTTTGGCAGCCAAGCAGCTCCCAGGCTGGAGTGGGGGGAGCGCCCAGGGCTTCCCACACTGCTTTAATCAGGGCTTTACTCAGTCTCTTGATATGCTGGGAGAGCGTTCCAGCATGTGGAAATTCAGTTTTAAGTGTTCCCATGGATCATAAGCTATAAAAGAATTCATCTGCTGGCTGAGGCAGGTTAAAGCTTTACAAATTCAAACAGACATTACCTTCACTGCCACGCCGAAGGAGCCTCCTCCCTCCTCCCGGCTGGAACTCCACCAGCTGGAGCCCAGGAGATGGTTTCAATTAGCAGCTCGCACACAGCTGAAAAAGAAAGCAGAGAGAAAAAGGCCCCCTCCCTTTTTTTTTTTCCTCTCTCTCCTTACAGTCAAAACCACACCAATTGAATTTGTGCCGTTCCTGAGTTTGGGCTTTTTCGAGTTTGATTCATGATCGTAAAGTAACACAAAATAAAACCACCACACAAAATAAATCTTCGTGCTCAGCTTAGCACGTGGGCAGAACAAACCCGGCCTGACTGACCATCCCAACCTTCCAAAATGCTGGATTTCCACCCAGCTCCTCCCAGGCTGCCGAGGCTGCAGAAGGGCACAGCAGCAATGGGCTGTTCATCCAACTGCAGAACGCTCCAAAGGTTGAGGAGGTGGAGTGGTTTGCCATTTGATGTATGATTAGGGGGGATTAAACTCTTCATTTTTGTAACAAAATCCTGATAAGGACAGCAAACGACTTTGAGAAGAATGAGGAATGTCTGTGATTGTTTAGGGATTCTTGAGGAATAAAAAGGAAATGAGAAAACATGAGACAAAAAAAAGAGGAAAATGTAAGGGGAGAAGATGATGTACGTTATAGTTCTAAAATTTCCCAATTAATATTCTAAGTATATTTCACATTATTTAGAATTTAAAGTGAAACATTTACAAAAATTCACTTATTTGGAAATCTAACAAGGATTCCTTTACCTTGCTCTTCTGTGTTTCTGTCATCGTTCTCCTGGTTCCAGTGGCACCTCAAAATGTTCTTCAGCTTCTCATCAACATTGGAAAAAGACCTGCAAGATCATCAAACCAAACCATGGGACTCTTGATTAGGAACCCACCATTCTTTAAGAGTAAACCACAAAAGAACAATATATATAAAACATGTGCTCAGCTTCTAAATAACTGGATTTTTGTAATGGATATACAGGTTTCACTTTAAATTCTACATGATGTGAAACATGTCTAAAGTATTAATTGGGAAATTTTAGAACTAGAAACTCTCAATGATGTGAAACAGATCTAGAATACTAATTGGGAAATTTTAGAACTATAATAAACATTATCTTCTCCCTTCTCATTTTCCTAGTAGAGTTTTGCATATCTCCTGGTCCCAAATATCCTTTCTGTGTTTCTTCACACAAAAGAAAGTTGACTGCTTTTATCTTTTAGCACATTTCCCAAAGGAACAGTTTCAGCTTCAGTCTCAGCTATTTGTCCACAGCGACTGCAAATTGATTTATTCCTCAAAATGGTCAAACTTTGTCATCAAAATGCTGGGAAAGGCTTTAATTCAATCTTTGCATGTCCTTTAACTTCCTTTTATCTCTTTTGCTGCTTAAACAACTGCTAAAATGTTAAAGGCAATCTTTTATTTATTTATGAAGCAGCCAAAATCAAGGCAATAGATTAGAAGGGACCTGTGTGCTTCCCTTAAAGCTGCAAAGAAGCAAAACAATGTTTTTATTTGAGTTTTTCAGCCCAGATTGAAGACTGAGGCAGCAACAGACTCCTCCAAAGTATCACTGATAAAGCCTCTGGTTAAAAACATGGTCCAACTAAAGTGGGATTTGAAAAAGCCCAAAATATCAGTTTTTATGTCTTTTCCCTCTCTGATAGGTTGGATTTTGTGTGAGTTTGTCCATATACGAATGAATGTGTACATTTATATAATATGTATAATATATATATTGCATAATAAATGCATAAATTTAGCAACTATTTGTGCTGCAGATTTTCAAATGCAGAGGGACAGACACAAATGACCTGGACATGCTCAACAAAATTCCTCTTTTCAACTGAAAATGTCGCTAACCATTTGTTCATGTTTTATGTAACACACCAACTTGTCTTTCACTTTTCTCTATTCCCAGTTCCCATCATTTATATATATTTAATGTCCTGCTCTCAACTTGTGGCTTCATTTCTTATGCTGAAAAGCATATTCAGCACAAGCTGTTTTTCTTGAAGCTCCCTTGTTATTTACTGGAATTTAAGATCATTAATCAACTTCTGGGTGGACTTTTAGCCCTCAAGTTCTAACCTATCATTCCCATATCCTCATAGTGGTGGGAATATCTGGTTTTATGGGGCTTTCTTTTGTTATTCTGTCACGTGAAACTTGGCTCTTTACTGGGATTTTTAGGCATCAGCTTAAGGAGGGAATGGCTTTTTTCCTCCAGGATGAGGATCTGAATTTCACCAGGAGGGTTTTATACTAAAATAATTTGGGGGGATGTGTGTTAGGGGTTAGTTCCAGTGGGGTTTTTATGATCTTTAGGATCTCAGTAGTTAATTTTCAGCATCCAGCCACGAAAATTTTGGCCTGTGCATGTTGTGAATGACTCTTGGTCCTCAAGAGAGTGGGATACCTGCAGAGAACAGCCTATTCTCTCCAAAAAATCCCCCCAACCTTGCTCTTGTGAAGCTTCCTTGGGTCACCCCAGCAGAAAGGAGTTAACAGGGGGATTTATTCCTATCCAGGAGCAGGGAAATCCAAATTTCTCCTGTCTCCTCTCCGAGCTACTGGCAGGGTTTTAACAGCTGGAGACACAGAAATGGAAATAAGGTCCTTCCAGTCAAGGCTTGACTGGAACCCAAGTTTAAAACCCCAGATTCTGTTCAAATCTCTTCACAAAATCGACATCATTGCACCAGTGCATTAGTTTCAAAATCAGATCCCAGATCAGCAAAACCCTGGGAGATAACACTGATTTGGGACAATTTTCTAGCCAACTATATTTATTTTATGCTTGGATTGGTTTTTGAAGGATATATAAAATATGAGCATTAATTTTTCCTGGGTCCTAATTGCAGAAACCATCTCAGCTGTTGTATCAGATAAGATTTTAAAGTCTTAAGTTTTATTTCCTTTTGGGTTAATTATGATTTTTTTTTTATCATTTAGTTGCTTTAGTTTCAGGGTCTCAGAAGCGCTTCAGGACAAATTACATCTCATATATATGATTTTCCTGAATAAGGATTTTTTGTCTGAGGTAGAGACAGGGCCTAACCCAAGGGCATAAACTTAGTTTTGATTCATTCAGTAGCACATCTGTGGAAGCAATATTAGAGCAGCCTTAAAACACTGAAGTGTTCCAGGGCAGAGAGGTTTATTAGGGATTTCATAGACCATCCTTCAAATCAGACCCTTAAAATTCTCCAAACTGACAGGAATAATAAACTTGCAGGCTTTCTTACTCAAATACTTTCATATCTAAAACTGAATCTACCTCTCCTTCCTAAGATCATTTCAGTAAATCAGGATTGAGTTATACAACCTAATGAGGGAAATTAATTTCTTAAAATTACCTTCACTGAATGAAAACATAAGGAATATAATCAGATTTTTTTTTTCCAGAGGAAAGAGAATCACAGTGAACGGAACAAACCGGGATGTCTCGGATGGAAAAACACTTCCTTTTCTTTCCAAAACAATTTTACATAATAATTCTATTTTTACTCTCCCACTGACTTCCATCCAATCTCTCTTCACTTTGAAAAGATACAATGATTGCACAGATAAAGCTTTTTAGCTCCTTAGGTGTCGATTCCATACAACCAACAATTAATTTAAAGATTACCTATACAGGATTTCTTTCAGGATCTTTGAATCTCCTCAGAAATACTTCTTCAGATCAAGAACTTTTCATACTTTTGGATCCAAAATAGCTCAAGTGGGATATGTTTTACTCCTCCTGTATTATTAACAACTCTTCAAAAAGTGCACAGTTTTCTAGTTTTATTCTAGAAAGTGCCTCCAAATCCAGGATTAAGGCATTAATATTAATAGCCAGAATATGACCCTGTGGCATTAAATTCCTGAAGCATCTTTCTACAAAGTCATGAAAAGAGATTATGGGGGGTTTTTTGTAGATAAAAAATACAGTCTGAAAAACACCACCAACAACCCAACCAAAAAATGCAAATCTCCAACACTAAAATAAATGAACTCCAAACCCAGCTGAATGTCTTTCCCACTGGCCAATCCTGTTGTTTTTCCTGACAAAGAATGGGGAATTCTGCAGGACAGAAGACCTTTCTGCCCACCTTTAGATCCCTTCTTTGAGGTGGATGAGCTCAGCTTCTCTGGGCTTGTCCTGGCAGCAACTAACACCTCCAGAGACCCAAATCCCACCTGGGCTCTCCTCTGCACCAAAAGGACATCACAGGTCTCTCAGGCCATCACAGAATCACCTTCCACTATCCAGGTTATTCCAAGCCTTGTCCAACCTGGCCTTGGACACTTCCAGGGATCCAGGGGCAGCCACAGCTTCTCTGGGCAACCTGTGCCAGGGCCTCACCACCTTCACAGCCAGGAATTCCTTCCCAATATCCCACCTAACCCTGCCCTCTGGCAGTTGGAAGCCATTCCCCCTTGTCCTGTCACTCCAAGCCTGTGTCCAAAATACCTCTCCAGCTCTTGGAGCCCCTGGAAGGTCCTTCAGAGGGGTCAAGGGTTGGGATTGTGATGTGCTGCATCTTGGGATGAGTGAAAGGTCTCTGCAGGTTTGCTTTGCAGCCCAAAGAGTGATGGAGCACATGTCAAGGGTCTGCCTCACCTCTCTCCTCCCACACTGAGCCAAGCAGGAGTCACAGTTCCTTCCCATGGGGGATGCTCAGGAGCTTCAATGAGGGAAACCACCACAGAAGTGCTAAAAACTATCACAGAATCATAGAATTGTTTGGGTTGGAAGGGACCTTAAAGCCCATCCAGTGCCACCCCCTGCCACGGGCAGGGACACCTTCCACCAGCCCAGGTTGCTCCAAGCCCCGTCCAACCTGACCTTGGACACTTCCAGGGATGGGGCAGCCACAGCTTCTCTGGGCAACCTGTGCCAGGGCCTCCCCCTCACAGGGAACAATTCCTTCCTAATGTCTCATTTAAACCTCCTCTCTGTCACTTTGAAGCCACTCCCCCCTGTCTGCACTCCGTGCTCTTGTAAATTAATGTTTGCAGCAGCTGCCAAACAGCTCCAGTGCAGCCAGGGAGGGGAGTGGTGTGTCCTCTCCTTCCAGATCCTGCAGCAGGATCTCAGCTCTCCTGGAAGGACACAGTAGTGGCAGCAGCACGTTCCATTAGTTTTCCCAGCTAATGAAAGACCTCAGGCAATCTAATTCCTGCTCCTTTCTGGGGAATCGTGCCAGGTATATTCCCAGGCCAATTATTGCTTTCACAAAGAGCTCTAAATCTGTCAACAAGCAAAAGTGTGAACTACAGTATAAAAACCCAGTTAAGACTGGGAGCCAATTGTTATAAGAGGAGTGTTTCTTCTTGCAGAGGGAACAGTGAAATCTGGCTGTATGACAGCCAGCCCACAGCACCACTGCCCAGCTGATGCGTTAGACACTCTTAGACCATGCCAAAAAGTTTGTACTCCTTGTTTTTTATTGATAAATAAATGCTTATTCTCGGACATGTCAATATGATAAATATTTTTCCAGCTACTGTGGGAAATTTCAAGAAGGTTCCAACAACTTCCCTCACTGATGGGAATAAGAGCAAAGGTAGATAAGGGATTTTTACCTACAGAAGTAACAACATCTCAATGCATCTGAATGTATTGATCTAAAAATTACCATGTGTAGGAATTCTGCAGTTTTCCCGTGGAAACTCTGTGTAGGAGTCAGGGAGATACAAATAATACAACAAAATGTGCTCTGACTGTCACCCTTGTGGTGTCACAAGGGCTTTGGGGTTGTTGGCATGTATTTACCCATCCTGGAGGAAATGTGGGTGTTGAGAGGGATCAAGAATTCAACAACAGTGATGTGTCTCCAGCAGGAGCAGGGATCAGTCTCAGACATCTGAATTAGCAGGCTGGAATTCTTCAGGGCTCTGCTGTTGGCTTGAATGAAAGCTGGAGGAACCCCAGAGAGCTGTGGATGGGCACACAGACACTTCTGGGATCGTAGAATCACAGGATCATTAAGGTTGGGAAAGATCTCCAGGATCCTGTGCCCGATGCCCACCTTGTCCCCCAGCCCAGAGCTCTGAGTGCCATGGCCAGGCCTTCCTTGGACACCTCCAGGGATGGGGATTCCACCACCTCCCTAGGCAGCCCCTTCCAATTCCTGACCACCCTTTCCAGGAAGAAATTCCTCCTGATGTCCAGCCTGAACCTCCCTGGGCACAGCTTGAGGATATGTGCTCTTATCCCATCGTTTTCCTGAAAAGAAGTCGAAAATCTTCTTTCTATTGATTCAGCATTTGAGGAATCTCCCACCCAGCTGATCTAGAACATGTGGAAGCTTCTCACATGAGGCAATTCCTTGCCTTCAGCCCCATGTGCTGGGACTAAATGGAGTGGGATGTTCCCTCAGTCCCTCAGAGCTGTTGGCTTGTGCCCAACTGGCACTTTGGCTGCACTCAGTTCCTCTGGGAGAGCTGGATTTTCAGCTGAAGCTTGCCAGGTTTAACTTTTCTACGAAAAAAACCTTGTGATCAGCAAAGGCTGAATTGTGGATATTCCCCAAGCCAAGTCCCAGGGCTGGGTGTTGACCCACCTTGGCTGAAGATCTGGAATTGCCAAAGCTTTGCTCGGAGAGTCCTCAGGAACACTTTGGATTTCATGGGGTACAGCTTGGAAAGATGTTCTAAGGGAAAAGGAGACAAGATTTTATAATCAGATTAACTAAAACTACAGGATTGATGGGGACTGTCAACCTAATTATGGAATGAATCATGTCTGGCTCTACAGTTATTAGTCGAAGTAATCCATTATTTGCTTAAAAATAACATTAAAATTCAACCAATAAAACCACTTATTGATGGCTGCTCTTTTTTTTTTTCCTTGTCTAAATGTCATCCCTGTTAAGAAAACGTAAAAGAAAAAGTCATTAAATCATCTTAGGCATTAAAAAAAAAAATCCATCTTTCATCATTTAAAGAAATAGAAAAGTGAAACATTATCTGACAAATACAGAAGTTCGAAAATTCAGATCCTCATCAGGATCTAAACCCTAAATTCAGATCAAAGCTGCCTAAGGTGGAAGAGAACATTTCTTAGAGCAGAAGGACCATGTTTGAACACTCTCCAAGCCTGAAGTGACCCCAGTGACCCGATCCTGCAGCAGACCAGTTCCCCCCGGCCCTGGATGAGGCTGATGCCCAAAGTGGGGGCAGAAATGGCCCAACAGCAGCAAGTGCCTTGGGCAGCAGGTCCTGGGGGTGGGTGATGACCCTTCTCCAGACTTCTGGAATGCTCTGCTCCTGCAGAGCCAGCTCCAAAAGCCCGGGGTGACACCACACCTCCCTCCCTGGGGGCTGCAGGGCTGTGCTCAGCCACCCAAGGCCCTCTCTCTGCTGCAGTGACCTACTTTCACATTCTGCTTTCACGAAGTTTAAGAGGAAAAAAAAAACCACCCAGCCCCAATTCCCGCCCCCTCCCGAGTCCTCAACAACAAAACCACGAACAAAGAGGCCAGTGACGACTTTTTAACTTGTTCTTTAACGTTCTTAAGCTGTTGTGGAAAATAAATACGACTCAAATCCTGTAATTCATCCTTCCATACCTGAGGCAATACAACACAATATGCATTTTTGTAGGCTGGCTTTTTGCTTCCAATAGCTTTGTAATAGTCTTATCCAAAAGATGAATTGCAAATGCTTTTTTTTTTCCTTTTTTCTTTTTTCTTTTCTTGCATAAGATGCTTTCCTCTGTTGGTAGCAAAGATTGAAGGAATGAAGATTTTCTTTTAAGATCTACGGCAAATAGGACTTAGATTTGATTGTTTACATTTGAATATTAGAGATTTTAAATAATCTGCCTGCGAAAGACAAATAAATTAAGCCTTCAGAACAGTAAGAACATAGTTTTAATCGTGTTTTCCAAGAGGAAAAGCATAAACTCTAAAATGTAGGTTATTTATGGTCCCTGAAATATCACTGCAGTTACAGAGTGAGAAGATTCAATGGCCTGAACTGTTTGGGCATTTAAAGAAAAAGTTAAAAATATGTTAAAATTCCAGATAAGGTGAAGAAAGAGAATAAAGGATGAGAATTGTCTGGCTGAGTCCCATAAGCACAAGACATGTTCTAGCAGGCAACAGATGTCCCCAGCAGCAGAGACCTGAGTCAGCAAACCCTGTTTAGCACATGCTGTTTAGACTATTCTGCTTTAGGTACACAGTCCTGATACCATTATTTAGGCAGCTTAATGGTCACATGCACAGGCATTGCCAGTGGTGCTGCTCTGTTGCCAAACAGATGTACAGTGCTTTTTACAAACCTCCTTTACCATTTTTTTATTGCTTTAGAGAACACACAATGGCCTGTTTCTGCATCTTTATAAAAAAGGCTAATTCTACCACTTAAATATGCTACGTGAGGTACATGAATGAACGTATGAGTTAAAACATTTCATGATAATAAACCCAAAAACTATACACAAGCATTTAAACAACCAATAAATGTGCATTAAAATTTATTGGAGCAGAAAAGCTTTATTCCCAGTCCTTGGAGAAAAAGTTAGTGTTAATGTTTTTACTTGGTTAACTCAAATCACTTCAGCATTTGTTAAGAACATAAGTCACCAAATCACCAAATGCTCCTATGCTATTGTGGGGCTGTATTTCTAGGAATATATTTATAGTATTTGTTTTAAATTTATGATATTGAATATTTGTGTTAAGTTGTTCACTGGGAGTAACAGCAGGTAAAATGAAGTTATATAGGTTTTTTTTTTCTGTGTAAAAAAGAAATAAGTGTCTAAAAACAAACCAACCAATCAAAACCCCAAACCAACAAATTTTGTTCCACCTTAATAAACTTAAAACCTCAGGTTCTACTTTGCCAATTAGAATCCTGTGATTTTTTTTTTTGCAGTCATTTTGTATTGGATTCTACCTGGATTCTGCATTTTTATTGTTAGCTTTAAATTTTTATTTCAATATTTACTCATAATTAGTTGACTTTCATTCGTGAAGCCTGGCCACGATGATGACACAGTCCTGATCTAGGAATGAACTCCAGACCAAAAATAATTCATTCTTTGAATTCCAAATTCAACCCTGGTCATCCAACAAGTTGTTTAAATTAAGTGGTTACAGATCCTGCTCTCCCATGGGTCTAATTCCCACACCCCCTGGATCAGCAATGGGGAACTGCTCCAGTTTTAGTGGCTTTGCAGCAAGGCAAGGCTAAAACCTGTGGAGAAGCTCAGTGGGGAAGAGCTCCCATCACAGGACAGCTGGATCAGCTTTGGATAATCGTGTTTCCTGCTGCCTGACTGCTGACCAGAGCAACAGAGGTGCTTTGGGAAGTGTAAATGCTGCAGGATCCTGTTCTCCACCCTCACTTCTGTGGTTTGGCAGCCTGGCTTGTGTTTAATGTCAGCTCTAATTGCAGCACCAGAGTACCCAATTATATAAAATGAATCTATTGATGACTATGCCATTCCTCCACGGGAAATCTCAGTTTTATAGACTAGAAATGGGGATCTAGGAATGCTAAAATCTTATTTCCAGTGCAGGCAGACCAGCACAGCCATCCCAGTGTAGCTGCAAGCTGATTATCCTATGGAATCGTTAATTATTTTGATCAGGGAGTCCCTTATTCTGCCAAAAGAACTTTCTGTTGTTGCATCAGGATGCCTTAAATCTCAACCAGACAATTCTTAAAAGTCATTTTTTTTCTCTTGAAATACCTGCAAAACTACTTGTGCTTAGAACAAGCCCCAAGTATACAAGATTTCACTGCACCCAAGGCTGGACTTCAAAAATTAGTTATCTTACATTCCAGTCCACTTAACAAAATTCCATGAGTTTATTCATAAGGAAAGGTCTTAGGAACTGCAGGACAAAGCATCCAAAAAATCCAAACACTTCTAATACTCTCAGTCATGATAAGAAAAGATGTAAAAATGACAAATCCTACCTCTGAGGAACCCATCATGTTCTAGGAGAAACAAGAGCAATCAGAAAAGTTGTTTGACATTATTCTGGGAAGAAAAAGACATTTACAGAGGGATTTCGTGGGGAATTAAAACCCAAATCCAAAAAACAAATAGGATTTGATGATGAAGCTCCTACACAGGACTTACAAAAGGCTCCCCCAGTTTAAGTCTATTAGAATGTATTATATAAGGACATATGACAAATCAGCTGTAATCTGGATAAATACAGTGCCTGGAGCTTTGTTCAGCGAGCAGGGACACAAGGAATTACATCTCTTACTAGGGAAGCTGCCCAGCCAGGAATTTGCCACCAAACTTGAAGACAAAAAAAAGTAGGAGTCCACCAAAAGAAGAAAATAGAGGCCAGAAGGATAAAAAAAGTGCTCTGAGTGCAGCAGCACCCTGGTTCTTATTTTATATATATAAATATTTATATTATATTGTATTATATTATATTTATCATAGGAAAAACAGATTTTAAGAGTTTGGGGGAGAAGATAAAGAAGTCAATTTGCACATGAGCAAAGAACCACATGACTGATTTCATGGTCACATATCTATGGGAGCTGTTGCCTCAGTGTGATCATGGGAGAAATCAGACTTGGAAGAAAAGAATAGAGAAATAATATTTCAGAGGTGTCTAAGCTGTTAATAACCCTAGAAACAATTTGTTTTGTTTCTATTTTAAATTTTATTTAAATTTATTTAATTAAATTTCTATTTTAAATTTCTGAGAAAATTTAAAACAGAAAACCTAGCTAAGAAATTCATAGAAGTAAATTCCACACTCCCAGAAATGGACTAGGAAAATCAGATTTTTTTTAGCAGGTAAAACAGGACTTGTCACAGTTGGAGGAAACAGAAGATGTGATATGGACAAGACTTATGTATGGGAACACATATTATAAACCTACTATGGAAACTGTGCAAGTAAAACCTGAATATTAGAGAACTTTTGATTAACGTCTCTCCTTCCTGCATTTCCATCTCTGCATTCAGTCTCTGAATTAAAATGTTTTGATGGTGGATTCTGCCACTCCCCAGCACAGACATTTCAAGACACTGCAAGAAATATCTCCAAGCTGAACGTGCCCCACCATCCTTTTAATCCATTCCCACTGTTCCCTGCAAGCCCAGCCAATTGTGCCATTGATTTCCATGGCCTTCGGATCAGCCCCGTGGGACTGAGAGATAAATGTATTCCAGACTCCAGGATGAAGGTTTAAAAAGAGAGGGCAGGGAGATTAATGCATTTGTAACCCTTGTTTCCACAGGGCCAATGAAGAATAAGAAGGATAAAGGATTACGACTCAAAACAATATATCCTTAAAATACAGTGTTTGGAAAGGGCTGCACTGATCTCAATGACATGGATATTTTCTCCATTCCAGAAAGTGGGCACATGCCCAGAAAAGCTGTGGCTGCTCCATCCCTGGAAGTGTCCAAGGCCAGGTTGGACAGGGCTTGGAGCAACCTGGGATAGGGGAAGGTGTCCCTGTCCATGGCAGGGGGTGGCACTGGATGAGCTTTAAGTCCCTCCCAACCCAAACCAGTCTGGGATTCCATGATCCCCAGACGTGGATTTGCCAAGAGGATTCATCACTAGGAGGAAAATCGTGGGATATTGGGAAGAAATTCTTCTCTGTGAGGGTGGTGACCCTCTCTGAAGTCAAAAGAAATCTCATAACTAAAATTAAGAAT